CACACATATTCCAGTTCTGGCACCAGCCCACCTAGCCTCCAAGTACGCTAATCAGAAATGGTATTTCTCTATGGTTCTCCAGGTGCTTGTGGATCACCGTGGGCATTTCATTGACATTAACGCAGGCTGGCCTGGAAAGGTGCATGACGCATGCATCTTTCAGAACACTGGCCTGTTCAGGAAGCTGCAAGCCGGGACTTTTTTCCCAGACCAGAAGATCACTGTAGGGGAAGTTGAAATGCCCATTGTCATCGTTGGAGACCCCGCTTACCCTTTAATGCAGTGGCTCATGAAACCCTTCACAGGGAGCCTTGACAGCAGGAAGGAGCAGTTCAACAGGCTGAGCCGGTGCAGAATGACTGTGGAGTGTGCTTTTGGCCATTTAAAGGGCTGCTGGCCCTCTCTGTATGGGAAGCTGGATCTGGCCAATGACAGCATCCCTGCAGTTATATCTGTGTTCTGTACCCTCCATAACATTTGTGAAGGGAAGGGTGAACGATTCACTCAGGCATTGAACTTGGAGGTTCAACATCCGGAGGCTGAATTTGAACAGCCAGAGGGCAGGGCTATAGAGGGGGCCAGAGCAGGGCTGCATGGCTTAGGGATGCCTTGAGGGAGCAATTTGAGGTTGAAAGCCACCAGTAATGTCTGGTGCCCTACACAGGAGTGAAGTGCAGCGGTTCCAGTGTTAGTAGGAATCTGTATTTGCTATGCTGACTTGCAGTGCCTGTTTCTTTCCTGGCTAAGGTATCTTTTACTTTATGCAATAATAAAGAAGGTTTTCAAAGCCAAAAAATCCATTTATTGAAAAGAGAATTTATTTACTGAAAAGAAACACAACTGCTTAGGAAACAGAAAGGGCAAGGGGGTGGGATGGGGAACGGTACAATCACAGGTTTGTGTACGTCCTGTTATCATACTCAGCCTTCCTGTCTGGAGTGCTGTGCAATGAGTGCTGCACTTCAGGGTGGCTGTACTGCAGGGTGATGGGGGTTGAGTGCAGAGGGTAAGGGTCATAGTTTTCAGGGCTGGGTGGTGAAACTACAGATGTTGGAGGCAGCTGGTGGTGGTAAGAACCCGGATGTTGGGGAAAGCGGGTTGGAGGTGACATGGGGACACAAGGGAAAGAGTTTTGGGACAAGGGCTGCAGGGGAGTCAGGCACAGTAGTGCTCCACCTGCATGGCTACGAGCGCCTGGATAGAGTCCGCTTGGCGCTCCATTATACTCATCAGCCGATCCGTGCTTTGCTGCCGGAGCACCACGCTTTTGTGCCGGCGCTCCTCATTCTGCTGGCGGATCCTCCTTTCACGATCCCGCCACTCCTGCACTTTTTGATTTTCATTACTTGAATGCTGCATTACTTCATGCAACATGTCTTCCTTCCTTCTACGTGGCCTCTTTCTGATTCTTTGGAGTCTTTTGGCTGGTGATAACATGGACGGCTGAAATCTCAATGTTGCATCTGTAAAGGCAAAATGCAACACTTAACAGAGGCAGCATTGTTCACACCAGACAGAGCAATGATTCCCCCGTACTTAAGGGCAAGCACAGTCTACACAACAGCATAATTTGCCTGTCCCAAAGCGAGCGCACATAACCCACGGGAGCCCCAAAATGGTGAGTAAGCACAGGTTCAAGCGTGACTGATTGTTTCACAGTTGTACTGTCCTCTGGGTTTCTGTGCCTTGGGGAGAGCCAAAAATGGCAGGGGGCCCCTATACTGAACACTGTCCCCACATTTTCCACAGGAGTTCATCCTTGAAGATATCCCGCTGCTGAGGGTGACCTGGGAAGCAAGGGAGGGTCTTCTACTGCAATGCGCTTTCGCCCTGGCCCGTATGCAGCTTGCCTGTTTGCAGCAATGGTCCCCCGGCCCCTCACAGCACAGTGACGTGAACAAGTTAGCCTTACTGGGACAAGGATCACAGTGGCTCTCCCGAGAAACCTGCACAAACGCATTGTCCAAGTTCTGGATGAGACCTTTGAAGAGATCACTGAGGCCAATCACCGCGATGCGAGAAAGCACATCAAAGCCCTATTCCGCATCTAGGCATGCATGCAGACCTAACCCTCCTCACCCCAAGAGCCTGCACCGAATCACTTCCTTCCCAAAATAAGAAAAGGAGTACTTGTAGCACCTTAGAGACTAACCAATTTATTTGAGCATAAGCTTTTGTGAGCTCACAGCTCACGAAAGCTTATGCTCAAATAAATTGGTTAGTCTCTAAGGTGCCACAAGTACTCCTTTTCTTTCTGCGAATACAGACTAACATGGCTGCTACTCTGAAACCTTCCCAAAATAAAAGCCACTTACCAGGAACCTCCTCTGGTGTTTGTCCTTCCCCAGCACCGGCCGCCATGACTGGCTACCTTCCTCTTGGCTTGAGAACAGCTCCTGGCTGCATACATCTAGGGATTCCAGGGTGTCTTCCTCTGCCTCAGCACCCTTGCTTCTGCTTAGCTCCTCCTCCTCCTGCCTTGTTGCACTGACCTGTGAGGTGTCCATGGTGGTACTTGGAGTGGAGGTGGGGTCGCCCCCAAGTATTGCGTCCAGCTCTTTGTAAAAACGGCAGGTCATGGGGGCAGCACCGGAACAGTGGTTTGCCTCGTGGGCTTTGCAGTAGGTATTCCACAGCTCCTTCCCTTTAACCCTGCACTGCTGTGCGTCCCGGTCATGGCCCCTTTCCATCATGTCCCTTCGTATCTGCCCGAAGGTATTGTATGGACAGCTTCCTCCCCCGCAAACACTGGTGAGGTCCAGCACCTTGCCATTGCTCCATACTGGGGGTTGTCTGGCACGTGGAGGCATGGTCACCTGGAAAGATTCGCTGAGAGCACTCCACGCCTTGCTGAGCAAACAGGAAGGGGATTTTCAAAATTCCCAGAGAATTTAAAGGGTGGGTCTGACAGTTGGTCACCTGAGGGCAGGGCAGTAGAGTTCAAAGCGATGACCAGAGTGGCTAGAACAGGCAGTGTGGGACACTTCTGGAGGCCGATCAGAGCGCACTAAGGGACCAGGGCGTCCACCCTGGCGCCGCAGCACTCCAGCGGGGGCGCAGCAAACATTATTCCACTCCCCGAGGTGGAGCACCAGGAGCACTCTAGCCGCGGAGTCAGAGCGCTCTATGTGCCTTGCCAGCATGGATGGGTAGTGAGCTAGTGCGCCCAGAGCTCCTTTAATGCACTCTAACTCGCAAGTGTAGCCATGCCCTTAGTATAAAGACAAGAGCACAGATGGAGCCTCACTGATGGGGTGGTGCAAGGAAACAATGAGGATATTGGTCAGCATGATTAGGAATATTATCAATTGATTACACTCATTATTATGTGAACTTTAAATTTTAATGTTGCCTGCCCCCTACACAACAACTGTTAGTTTCAATATGCCACATATTCCAGTATTGACCATATACTGCATTTAAGACATTGTTAGGGGAAAGCTAGAGTTTTGGCTGCTGCAGTGGGGGCGGTTGTTGCTTCTGGCACTGAAGAAGGCATAGAAAGCAATTTTAGATTATAAATAAATGCATTAGCTGGATGTTTTTTATAGCATGCATAACAGCGAAACAGTTAAAACAGATTTAATAAAGCATCTTTAAGTTTCAAAGTTACTGCATTGAAGGGGAGCATTTCATACTTGTTTCAGGCTGTTTGCAGACTCAGGAAGAAAACACTGCATTATTTTGCTCGTTTCACATTTTCAAGGCTATCTCAAAAACCAAGTGGGCTAGAAACAATTTTACAAAAAGAAAAACAGACCACTGAATACAGTTTTACAGCCTTGGTTTGATTGATGATACTACTAGTTACCCTGTGAGGAAGATCCCTGAAATCACATCTAGAAAGGAAAAATTGTTTATAAAAAATTGCCAGCATTCCAAAAATTAACAGTGTCTGGTTGATACAGGTATGTGGTGTCGAAGCAAATATTACATATTTGTATACATTTAGCAACTAACTTGAAAAATGTTAGCTATTGACGTATTTAGGAAATTTTACATAAAAGCTTGGAAAGACTTTTTAAAGACTATTTTACAATTTAAAAATATGCTTAAATAGATTCTTAAGCATCTATACTTTATCTTATATACAGTTTACATACACGTCAGTTATCCTTTGCTTCCAGTAAATGACAGAGTGCCTGTCCTCAGGACAAACCACAAAGACATTCATAGCCAGCCTTCCAGTGTTCAAAATATGGAGCCCCATCCTACCTGACAAATCAGAGGCCGTTTTCCCTACATCATAAATAATCTGCAAACGCAAACATATTATCTGCCACTACCCTTCAGTCAGAGAGGTTGTACTGCCAGTCAAAACTAGAAATAGAGAGTCAGTCACCTGCAAAGTGAGTGGATTTAAACATATAAAGCGTACACAACCGTGGAAGCTTTAGAGAGAAGGACAGTGCTAACAGGGCTGAGAAAGTTAGGATGACAGCTTTAAGGGTTATAATTTGAGTTAACTTTTGATTCATACAATGCAACTATTCTAATGCTCTAGGACAGTGCACACACTATTTCAAAATGTATTTCATTACATAATACACACTAACGTAACTAGAAAAGGAGTACTTGTGGCACCTTAGAGACTAACCAATTTATTTGAGCATAAGCTTTCGTGGGCTACAGCCCACTTCATCGGATGCATAGAATGGAACATATAAGAAGATCTATATATACACACACACATACAGAGAAGGTGGAAGTTGCCATACAAACTGTAAAAGGCTAATTAGTTAAGATGAGCTATTATCAGGCAGAGAGTCCATGGCCATGTGCATGTGCATTGAACAGCCAGTAAGCTGCTGCTGTTCGGTTTAAGAAATGGCCTGCTGGCTTCCTCAGCCAGTCGGGCAGGGTGGTCCATCAGGCAGCCTAGCTGACTCATTAGGGCATCAGAAGTAATGAGCAGTTGCCACTGGCCAAACTGGACAGTCTCTACGCAAAAGAATAAATGGACACAAATCTGACATCAGGAATCATAACATTCAAAAACTGGTAGGAGAACACTTCAATGTCTCTGGCCACTCAGTGAAAGATTTAAGGGTGGCAATTTTGCAACAGGTTTCAGAGTAACAGCCGTGTTGGTCTGTATTCGCAGGAAGAGGGGGAGTACTTGTGGCACCTTGGAGACTGGCCAATTTGTTTGAGCGTGGGCTTTCGTGGGCTACAGCTCACTTCTGAGCTGTAGCTCACGAAAGCTTGTGCTCGGATGGATTGGTTGGTCTCTAGGGTGCCACAGGTACTCCTTTTAATTTTGCAACAGAAAAGCTTCAAAAACAGATTCCAACGAGAAACTGCTGAGCTTGAATTAATATGCAAACTAGATACCATTAACTTGGGTTTGAATAGAGACTGGGAGTGGCTGGGTCATTACACATATTGAATCTATTTCCTTAAGTTAATTATCCTCTCACCTTCTTGTCAACTGTCTAAATGGGCCATCTTGATTATCACTACAAAAGTCTTTTTTTTCTCCTGCTGATAATAGCTCATCTTAACTAATTAGCCTTTTACAGTTTGTATGGCAACTTCCACCTTCTCTGTATGTGTGTGTGTGTATATATAGATCTTCTTATATGTTCCATTCTATGCATCCGATGAAGTGGGCTGTAGCCCACGAAAGCTCATGCTCAAATAAATTGGTTAGTCTCTAAGGTGCCACAAGTCCTCCTGTTCTTTTTGCGAATACAGACTAACACGGCTGTTACTCTGAAAACTAACGTAACTGACATTAATATAATTTGCCAATGCTAATAAAATAATTAAAACATCCTCTATGTAACCTGAAGTACCCCCAACCAGGCACACAGTCTTGAGCAAACAGACTTTGCAACAGGTCCTGGAGATCAACAAGTTCAGGCTTAGCAGGCAACAAAATTACAACTAATAACCCAGGGTCTCCAGATGCATCAAGACCACCTCATGGCCAAGGTGTCAAACGCAAGAGAAAGATCTGAAAGAATCCTCACGGACACTCTCTTTCACCATTACTCAATCTCCTGATAAGACTAGCATCATCGCCGTGCCAGGGCATCAAGACCCAGACTGAAAGGGGTCCACAAATGTGAGGATGTTGCCTATAATAAACCAGCACTGTTGCAGAGGCTATTTATTTTAAAACAATCAGACTAAGAAAGGCCAAAAGAAAAATGCACACACATTGAGCCACCTCCCACATATATTGGCAATAGCATGATTTTCTTGTCCTATGGATCCCCTACAACTCTACGCATATAGTTATTGGACAATATTTATTATAAACATTTGAATCCCAAGCCTCACAGAGTAATTTCAGGAATGGGACTCCTTAATTAACAGTCTTGTAGAAATCTTGTCTGCAGAAGAGATGAATGGAGAAGGGGAAGAGGGATGGATGTTCTCAGACTGACGTTATCAATAGTTTTTCGATTTGGGGGCAGTAGGGAGGGAGGTTATATTCTCTGTTTTATGTACAGAGCTTAATATTTAGGTTCAGCCTTCATAAGTAAGGACAGAAACAGGAAGTTATTGATTTAGAGCTTTACCACGGTCATGAAAAACCAATCTATAAGAGAGATCACATCTGTAGAGAATGTATTTCATACATCAAAACCATACAGATCAGATACAAATACTTCTCTTCGGCTCAAGAAAACTGCAATGCTGGGGTGTTACATATCCAGGGCTTAGCACTGACTTTTGGATCTACAATATTTCAGTGTCATTTCCTCTCAAGCTTCCTGAGCTAGATCAGTAAGACTGGGTTTGTGTTTGTGTAGATTTCCCTTTCCTTAAGCCACACAACAATTAATACGATTAACAGGTCAGGGAGAACACCTGGTGAAAGCCTTCAGTAGGTAACAGCACAGCCGGTAATTTAATACGCCTTAGGTAAAGGCACTGTATTGATGGTAGTGCTGCTCCAACCACAGCAAATGAGGAAATGGTGGAGCACACGCATTACTGCCTTTCCTCTATTATTCTATACATTTCATGAGGGATTTCACTCTTTCAAAGGATAAATAAAACATCTGCAGGGGAAACACCAATCTCACAAAGATGAGTTTCACTAGAGGGGAAAAACCAATTCACTGGATTCCTCAATTTCTACCCTACTGGGAACTGTCGGAATATTTATTGGCTGCACAGAGCAATCCAGCAGTTCTGTGGATTTTTTGCACTCTAATTAATGCTCTTCTTTGAAATCATTTGCCTAATTACATTTTTAAAAACTTTTAATGGAGTTAAAGCATAAATCAAGTGTCCGTCAGGAAATTCAGAGTTAAAGCAACCCCTTTGCCATGAATCATTGTGTTATGCTCAGAGTGGTGAGAACTGCAGCAGCTCAGGGGTTGTGTGACAAAGTATTGTGGCTGCCACCTAGAAGATAAGATTTTGAATCATTATCTGTGTTTGGTTCCCCACGTGGTTCAACCCTGCCAGATGCTAAGCTTAGGGAGCCTAGGGTAATTAAACAGGAGAGAGTTCTGAAGGTGACGATTTAAGGGAAGGAGTTGTTTTGAGTTGCTAATGCTATTAATAGGCCACTAGGGCAAGAAAGGGCTCAGAGCTTGGCCAAGGTTCCTGTCCTTGGATGGCAGTCACTGGCACAATGACAGAGAGACCAGGGCACTCCTCTCCTTTTTCATCACGAAAAAGTAAACCTCCAAAAGAAGAAATTTAAGCGGGGGAGGGAGCGAAATCTGTCGCGAAGCATGATTAAAGCCTTGATCACCCATTTCCCTGCAGCTTAAGACCAGAATTCTGCTTCCAAAAAGAACTCCACTAAGTTAAACCACAAGTATGTGTAGCTAGATACCAGAAGGACTGAGGAAGGGCAGAGAAGCCATGCCATTTCCCATCCCAGCCCTAAACAGAAAAGCACAACGTAAAAGCTGCAATACCTGGATATAGTTTGGGTGAGGAGTAGAAAAGACAGCAGCTATAAATAAATAGTTTGGCCTTTATCCGGCCTTTATTAATTTAATTTTGCATTATTATTGTAGGCAGAATAACAACACATAAAATCATTCATCTTCTATTACTGGGAACGTTTTGTGATCCTGTTATACTGATTGTGTCTAGGCAGTCTCCAAGTGGGAAGTTATTTTGCAATGGTGATTACTTCTAACAATCCCAAAATGGCTTGCCCTAGAAACTTCACATTGTATTAATATGTTGGTATTGATGAGGCCTGGTGCTTTTGGATAGTTGAGGGGAGACCATAGGGAAATTTAATTATTAGAAGCAATTTCCTCAACTATTATTAAGCTGCAGAGATCTTAACTCCTTGTGCTGTCAATCTGAACAGACACAGGGAAGAAAGCAGTGGGGAAAGCTACCCTAGGGAGGAGCAAACTCAAGCCTCATATAGGTTGGATCTCCACCTTTCTAAAGCCTAAGAAAATCTGCAAAAACACAAAAAAATAAAACTTGGTTAAAGTAGAATTAAGGCTGTAAATCTGTTTCTTAAGGCAGTGTTTCCCAGCCTAGGGAGTACCAGGATGGCTGGCAGAGAGTGCATGAGGCATCTTTGGTGAGCAGTGCCAGGGAGAAGGGGTTACAATATATAACCCCTTTGACATGTTTTCATTGTGGCAGGCTGGTACACTTCAGCTGTGGGACCAACCAAGATCAAAGCAAGCTGAGGGGGGAGGTGGCCTTCCATGTTTGAGAACACAAGCCATGCACTGCAGGAGAAGGACCCTTGACACCCCCAGAAGATTGCACATATTGTAAAAGCACATAAAGTGCATGTGCTCTACTATGAGGGTGAGGAGTGCAATACCGTGGCCTAAATGAATAAAATGAACTTCAAAAAAGGAGGAAGTCAAGGTTATTAAACAAGGAATTGTTAATGCTATAAATATCCCTGTTCTTCAAATCTTCAGAACAAGACTAAATGAGCTATGAGTAAAGCAGATTATAGATGGAGGTATGTGTCTGTCTATGTGATTATAAAGATTCCTAATGGTGTTTTTAATTGAACTATTGGATGCCTCATTCACTTCAGACCAGAGAGGACACAGCTACCTGCCAGCCGGAACACTCAGAAAGGACTGGATAGTTTAATTATAAGCACTTTAGTGAACCTTGAAATTATGTATTCTAAATTTTGCAAGTTGAAATAATACAGTCTCCCTGCACGCAGCTGCCCTGCACCACCCCACTATGCTTTATACTACGAACTAACCTACAAGCACAAACACTGACTATACTTAAGTTATGCCAAAAGTTGCCCACAGAGGTTCTATAGTTTTACAGCTGCCTGAGTTGATAATTCTTCAAACCGAAAATTTTTAGAATAGCAACTTAGTCTATTAGCAAGTAGCAATGCGTATTTCCAAGTGCTCTGAAGACACACACACACTCTTGAAAGCTGTGCACCATCTAATATTAAACCCTTTTGTTACATAGCAGCCAACCGAACCCATTTACAAGAAAAGCAAGAGTCTCCAGTTACACTGTTCCATTATTCAGATTAAATTATTTCCAGATGAAATATATGAATGCGAAAATGTCTACACCAAGGGCACCATTAATTAAGAAACCTGCATCCAGGAGTGTGGTCCAATCTGAGTTTAGCCACACAGGGTTGGGGGGAGAAAAGGAAAAGATACAAACGGGCATTTTAAGAGTTGTTGAGAAGGTAATGGAATTGAAACAAGACTTGCTCCAATTCCCCACATCCTGCTGAATAGTATCTGCATGATGTGACAGAGGTAAATGTCAGTTATCAATATTTAACCAGCCAAAGGACCAACAGCCTGGTATACTCCTGAAGTAAGGAATTTCCACACTTCAACTACCTTTACCAAGCAGTTGGAAATCACAGGTAGATGTGAGAATTCTGAAGAAACAAAAAGCTTCTGATGAAGTGGGTATTAGCCCACGAAAGCTTATGCCCAAATAAATTTGTTAGTCTCCAAGGTGCCACAAGGACTCTCGTTGTTTTTGCTATTTAATGTAACTCAGATGAAATATTTTGTGTGATATTAGTTATGAAGTCTGTTGATCAGAACAGCTTGTTTTAAAAGGAGAATTTGGACCTTTCCCTCAATGTCCCAAGCAAACACTCACATTGAAGAGTCTTCCTAAAATCCACTTTCTTTATCCCCCTTAAAAAAGAGCCTTCTACTTTCTGGACCATATAGATCTGTATCTCCATATAATTTTTAAGGGAGATGAATAAAGAGTACATATGTCACAAGAAGTATAAGGCTCCTGACCCCTCCAAGCAGACAAAATTAA